TAGTTTTTGTATTTGACAGATTTTTTTATTACATAACTTAATTGTATGACTTATGACAAAAATCTTCCTACTAAGTATATTTATTAGAAAATCGAAAAAAAACAAATTTTCAAAAAATATAAAAATGAGTTGTTTTTATTGTCCACATCTCATATGTTCTACTTACATGTTTTATCTGGTCTTGTTTCTTCTGCCTTTTAATCTAACTATATCTAGTATTACTTTGTTTCTCATATTTCTTATCTTTTTGTCACTGTACCACTTCCAAATTGGTCCTACTTGGGTATGTTTGATCCTTATGATCTTCCCATCTTTGGTATGCCTGTTATTGATTCCCCTAAGGTGTTCTGACAATGGTCTAAAATCTGCAAAGAATCTGTATCTCAAGCCAGATCTGCTGCTGCTATTGGTCTTTTGACCAATCTGTATCTCAAGCCAGGTCTGCTGTCACTGTTCCTGCAGATGCCTCAGGTCTTAACGTTATACAGTAACTCGATACTGCATTTAACCTTTAACATGATGCTCCCTTCTATGGTGACTTGTTGTGTTTACAAACAGGACAATTCTGGTTATACCTAGGAAGTTCCTCTGACCCTAGTGATATTATACTACCATATATAGCAAGCTCTTAGCTTATTCGATAATATCTGCAGGACAATTCTGGTTATGCTTCAGAGAGTTACACTAACTCCAGTAATGCCATACTACTTTGCAGATCTTATCTTATATTGGTTAGTTGATTACAGTTTTGTTTATCATAGACTTCCATATAGGTATGACCAGGAATCCGATTTGGTACTTTTATATTGCACAAGGAAGTTATACACCAACCTCCAAGATTTTTCTCTTCTATAGTTAGATTATTCAGCTGTACCAGAGGTGCTTTCAATTTTTGGTTAGACCAATTCTTTATTATAGTCTGTTCTCATGTTCATTGCTTTTCTCATCATTCTAGTTTCAGTTACTTTCAGAATACTCTCCTAATCAAATTCTCTTCTAGAATCCTAATTAAGACTTATTTGCACAATTCGTTGATTATCCTTCTAAGCAAGTACTCTACAAGTTAGGTGCAAGTATGTTGGTATTGCTTATATTAGGAGGTATAAGAATGTTGATGCTGCTCTAGCCTAAAGGACTTACATACGCAATCTTTTCATAACTATAATTTTTTGTAACAACTGCTTGTTATGCATAATGCCTGCACTTCACGATTGGGTCTTCTTCTAGGAATTCCTATTTTCATTGTTGTATTACACTTGGACTTAACCACAGGGTTTTGTATTCAATTACAGGCTTCTTATTAGGTTACAGAAGCTAAAATCTTTTCAATTTTGCCTCCAGCCAAACTTGAACCATTGACCTTGATTGTAGAAGGTATGGAAGCTTAACTGCTAAGCTATAGGACCCACATCCTATAATATAAATATTATATAAATGATTATTTAAATTTTTACTATCAATAGAATTTAAACACCTAAGCTACCATTTGAAAGATTGATAATTTGACTATTTCACTAAGTTGTTATACTTCTTCTATTATTTTTTTTTATTCTAATTAGTTTTACATATTTTTTTTAATCTTTTTACTTTGTTTCTTTATAAAGATATATTGTTCTTATTTGATATTTATATTTAATTTTTGTATTAATATAATTTGCAATTGCAAGTTCTACTTATATTTTTGTTATTATTATTTTATAATTACTATTAACCTTTTTGCTTCTTTTATACTAACTCTTTGAAGACCTAATGCTAGTGTTTCTAATAATCTAATATAATTAATTCTTGTTGTTATTCTATAACTTGACTATATATATATATGTTTTTTTTATCAGATATAGGCTTCTGTATAAATCTGTAAAGTCTTGTTTTTAAGCTAATAAATATTAATAATTTTTTATAATTTGTTATTTGTAAATATTGTTTGTTTAGAATATTGTTTACTATATAGTTAAAATCTTCTAATACAATTACTTCTATATATATTTTTTTGTATATCACTATTTTTACAATTCTTTCTTATTAATTAACTTGTTATTTAATAAAATGTATATCTTTATTATTACTAATTTTAATTGTTTAAAATACTTTTATGCTTCTATTATATATTTACTAACTCTTTTAATTGTTCTTATATATTTTTTTTATTTTTTATTTATTAGTATTCTTATATCTAATTATTTATTTTTGTTTAATACTGCACTATCCTAGTATCTTTTATATTACATATTTTGATTATATAATAGGAATTTTTCTTCTTTTTCTATAATATTTGTTTTTGTTACTTTCAAAATTGTTATTTTTTTTTTCTGCCTAACCAAACAGATTTTCTAGTTTTTATTTTCTAGTTTTAAGTTTATTAATGTTGTGAAATGCTATTTGTATTTTATTTTTACTTTTTTTATTTATTAATTTTGTTTTATATTAGTATTTTTTGCTTTTTTTTTTTTTTTTTATTCTTTTTTACTTTTTAACTATAGGTTGTTTTTCTATTTCTTTTTTCAAAAACTTTTTTTTTATTTTGTAAAAATTTTAATCTTTTTGTTTGTATTTATAAATTTAATTAAAACACTCTTAGAAGTAATCTGCTAGGCCTTTTTTTGTACCTAATTATATTTCTTTTAATCTGTCTAGTCTGTTCAAAATTTATCTTCTACATATATAACCTTTGATTAAAGTTGCATGTCTAATTTTGTCATCTTTTGATCTTTTTTTTCTTTTTTTATATTAGTATTTTTGTCTTTTAACCATTCTTTTATATTCTGACTAATATATTCTATTTTCATGCTTTTTCTACTTAAAACATTTTGTTTTGTGATTCTGATCTTTGATACTTCTTGTTTTTTGATTCTTGTTTTTGATCTTTCTTGTCTTTTATCTCTTGATTTTTCTCTTTTTTTCTCTTAAACTTTTTTTCTTTAAGTTTTTTTTAGTATACTTTATAATTGTTGTATTGAATTAAAGTTGTCTAAGCATTCTCTGCTGTTTAAATACTTGCAAAGATAATTTTATTTAATTGTTTATATTACTTTTTTATTTTAAATTTATATTTAAAAAGATTTTTTATTTGTTTATTTTTAAAATATTTTTTTTAATTTAGATATCAGACTTTTAAAAACTTTATTTTAAAAATTTTGACTTTAAAGCAAAAACAAATCATCTAATATAAATCTATTTATAATACTTTATATTACTAAACTTTGTTAATAACAGCTTACTTTATATAAACTAAAGATGGAGGTTTTTTTTTTAAACCTTAAGTCATTATCTTGTATTTAGCTAAATTTGATCCAAATAATAGTTAAAAAAAGTTGAATATATATTTTTAATTTAAATTTTAATATATTTATTTATTAATGTTAAAAAATTATAAACTTTTTATTATTAGATTGAAATTCAAAAAACAAACGTTATAATTATAGGTTTCATATGTTTCTATATATAAAAATTTTTTATTTAAATAAATTGTCTATACGTATAAATAAAAAATTTTTATTTAAATAACTATTTTTTTTAAAAAACAAGTATATCAAAGATAAATTTATAGAATTAATCCTTATAGTTTAAGGAATATAGTATTTTTATTAACGTTACATGTTGATATGTACGTACATGCGTAAGTATATGCGTACATAGTTAAACCCTATCGCTATTGTAAATCTAAATTTGGTTGTTTATAATAATATCTATTAAAATTGTATATTTGCGTAACTGTTTTTGTTTTACGTATCAATTTTTTTTTTTAGTGCATGTCGATATTGTAACATACATAGGAAAAACCAAATCATATCGAAATATTGAAATTATAAACAGTAAATTACAATAATTACAATAATCAATGTTGAAAAAAAAAAAATGAACAGCATTCATCTCACCACCGAGATTTGATTTACATTTATCTGACAGGTAAGAGCATTGACAAGTTAGTGTAATAATAAAGATCATTATTTAGTGGTATTTATGGAATTATCATAACTGACTGTCATAATTAATTGTTTTAAATTAAAGAGACTATGATAACTTAAAGTACAATGTAAAAGCAGAATATTGTTGTAGACCCGGGCAGTAAATGAAGTGATCGCATGTGCGTGTGGCCTAAAAGGTTTATGGAGAGAAATTTAAACAAAAAAGTTATAAATTCGCCAAATTAACCTGTCTTAAGAATAATCACATGTAAATTTTGCGCCCATTTAAATGTATACTTGGAATTTATTACACCACTTGCCGTAGATGATTTTTTGAATCCAAGATAAAGAGTGTATGTTTAACGAACTTGCTATATTAGCTAAGCAAGACCCTGTTTGAATCACTTTTCGTCACATTTCCTCAAATGGAATAGTTATATTGATGATAGAGACGATCTTATTGCGTAAATTATACGAAATACTAACCTAACTCTTACACTAGAGCGGATCCGAAGATCATCTTTGTTAATATTAATCGGTTTGGCAGGTTTCGAGTACAAGTGTAACGAACTGCACATGGAAATCATCCGGGGTATAAATGAATGAATGCGCAGAAATTATGATCGAACATGCTGCAAGCAGTTGAAAATCAACATTATACATACTCGGCAATCAACAAGATGCTTGAATGTTTTCTCCTAAAGTGCATCATTGCTTGATTGCATGAGACAACCTCTGTTTGCAATCATGTGATTATTATTTATCAAAAGAATTTGGATGACAAAGTCGCTCAACAGGAAATCATCATACAACAGTTTACATTCTTTCACACCATTTTCACGAGTTTAATCGATTGATTCAATACTACGTCAGTTTAAAAATACACGCTTAACATTTTTCCACAAAAAAATATCACGTAATCATTATATCATGAGATTTCCAAAAAACTTATAAATAAGACGATGTCTCCCTTTATATTTATTTAATTATTTTATCGTTAATAATAATTAATAATAATTAATAATAATTGATATTGATATTAAAAAAATTATTTTTATCGCATTCGCATTAAAAAAATCATAAAAAATAATAAACATGTCTAAGAAAATTATTGTGTATAGTGTTTCAGCAACTGCTTCTGAAAAGCAAGGTTCGTTAAAGAAATGTTTACTACTAAGAGTACATCAATCTTTACTCACATCGTTCTTTACGTAAATTAGTTAAGGATTTTTTCTTGTTCTGTGGAAAGATTAAAGAATTTAATCTTGTGAAGTGAGTTTCTTAATTTAGACATATTACTTGGATCATCCTGAATTTATCTAATTATATTGTCAATTTATCTACATAGAGAAGAAAGTAGTGACAAACAAATTGCTTATATTACATTTGAACGAGGTATAAAATATGAAGTATAATTATAAATTTAATTTCATTCGACATTATAACTTAATCTCTTCTACATGACAGAAACTGCTGCAAAAACCGCTTTAATGTTGACCAATGCCGTTATCGGTGACTCTCAAATAACCGTCAAATGCTCTGGTGAGGGTCCATCTGAAGAAGAAGAGTCACCAGAGGGTGATGGCATAAGTCAAGAGGATAAGGTTAGAAGTGATAAAGTGCATGTTTAGGTCGTGACGAATTTTTTAAAACTTATCAAGCATTATATTATTACAATCTTTTATTTCTTTTACAACAGCCAAAAGCTGTCATTTTCGCTGAAATCTTAGCTGCTGGATATCAGCTTCAAGACACCATTATTGAAAAGGGCATCGAATTTGACGGTTTATATCTTTTAATGACAATATGGTTTTCGTTCATTAGTCATTTACTAATTAAAATTTTAAATTTATCAGCAAAGTTTGGCATCAGTACTCGTTTAAGCCATTATTTACAAACGATCCAAGAACAACGTAAGTTGTTGGATTCAGTAGGTTGTTATTAGTGTTAAATTTGTTAAATAATATTCTTTTTATACATATTTGACTACATTACGACTTTCAGTTAAAAAACTTGATGATAAATATCATGTCACCGAAACCGTCACCAACCAAGCCACTGCAATTGATGCTAAACTTGGTGTGCAAGACAAAGTGAAATATGCTGCAACGCAAGTTCAAGACAGGGCTAATCAAGCTTTAGACACTTCTCCGGGTAAACAGCTTGTCGAATTTTACCTCTCTACCCAGAAACAAGTAGCAGATGTTCACAATGAAGCCCGAAGAATTGCTAACGAAAAGAAAGCCGCTCGAATTGTTGATGCTTCAATTCAAGAGAAGATCGAATGCCAGTAAAATAAATAGATATAATTATATATCAAACGTTACTGCAATTTTTTTTCTTTTATTTTCAAACTGCTTTTTTTTTGTTCTATTGAATTAATAATGTATAATTGGTCTTGGATAAAAAAAAAAAAAAAAATTCTTATTTTTTTTAAAAAAAACATGTTTTTACTTTAATTTAGTTTAGAATTATTCTTTCAATGCATATTTCATTATTTTAAATGTTTTTTTTAGTTTTTTTATTGTTTTTACTTGAAGCCCGCGTGTTTATTTGATAGACTTTAACAGTGTAATAAACTCGGCTTGGCTTCTATTCATAATATATATAATCAATATTTTCTCAATATTTTTATAATGTTCATAGACGCTTGAATATCGCGTTTCACTATTGATTAGCGGTTAGTTCAGCGTTAGAAATAGAGTTACTCAAATAAATTTTGGTCTGGATTAAAATTTATCAGCATTAATGCGAGCCAGCTGAGTGAGAATCAATCTTTAAATTTTTGACCAATAAAAATAAACTTTCAATAGTGTCCCACTTTTAGTTGCAGTACTTAAAATGATGACCGTTATGTTTATTTGATTAACCACCCACCTTTTAAATTAACTTACAAGTTATCCTAAAAGGAATTATGCTATGTAGGATAAATTATAGGTGGTAAATCAAATATTCTTTGCATCGCTAACACTGACGAGATTTCGATGAGCAGAGTTTGATAGTAGCAATGATACACTAAAATTCTAAAATTATATTGAAATTAACCAATCATTTTGTTTTTAACCATGTTGATTTAAATTTAACGCAATCAATTATGATTTTCATCAACTTTTAATCTTGAAAAAATGTCAAATTCTATTATTCAACAAACTTCTTGTGAAGCTGATGATTTTGTTCCTTCTGAACTTGGGACAAAGGAATAGTATGTTTAATTTAAACCTTATTTACATCAAAAAATCCACCCGATTAAATTTTTTTAATACTTAAAAAGTTGGGAATCACGTTATGACCTAGAAAATAAAAATTTTAAAGATATTGGCGATATTGGTGAAATTTGGTAAAATTTTGTCTTTTTCTTAATTGTATCAAACCATAAATAATAACTTGAGCTTTTACGAAAGGTTTGGTAAAGATAGTATGGAAAAAATGGTAAATTGGGTAAGAATTTTTGATCATTGTAATTAACTAACACATTATCATTTAGCACTTTATTTTATCATTTATTTATTTATTCATTTAAGGTTCTATCCAAAACCTCTATAAAATCCTCAGCAATCCTTGATGTTGGCTGTGGAAATGGATACCTTCTTATAAAGCTAGCAAGCCATAATTTTACAAATTTATTCGGAATAGATTATTCTTCAAATGCAATAAAATTAGCTAATGAGATTGCAAGAAGCCGTAGATTTGATAACGTGATTTCGTATCGTGTCGCTGATTTACTTCATGAGGACGTATTACATATTATCAATGGCTCAGATAACGTACAAAAGTTTGATTTTATATTAGACAAAGGCACTTTTGATGCCATAAGTCTCTCTTTACAACGAACTTCTTCAAATCAACTTTTGCGTGACACTTATCCTACAAAAATCCTTTCTCTGCTTAATCCAAATGGTTATTTTTTGATTACAAGTTGTAATTTTACTAAAGACGAACTGATAGAAAACTTTAATGGCGGTATGTGACTCTTTATTATATATATCATATCGAAGGATTTGTAGAATTTGAAAAACTCATCATAGTTCTAGCAAAAAATTAAATTTGCTTCAGGTTAAAATTTAATTGCTAAGTTTCATTATGGTTAGGATAAAAACTTACGTTAAGGTTATATATTAACGATGATTATTCTAATCTGATGTAAAGACTAATTTACGCATAATACATATATATATTATTATACTTTACGACAAATTTATTAATTGGGGGTTTTTTTTTTTGATAGAATTTGATTATTTTGAACATATTAAATATCCGACTTTCACTTTTGGTGGAGTGATTGGACAAACTATATCAACGGTTGCTTTTAAGCCTAAATAAAAAAAAATTGATTAGTATTAATTTTTTGAATAAAATATAATAAATATAATATTTTAATAAATAGTTAATATTTGTAAAATAGGTGCTATCTACTGTATATTATATTTTATTTAATTGTTATTGTAGCAAACTGATTAAAATAAAATAATAGTAGTTAAAAAAATATATATACTTTTAACTATTTACATTAGATTCGATTTAATTTAATCAAATTAAATACAATTCTTTTTAACAGTTAAGGTTGCTAAAGGTTTGATTTTTTTGATTCAAATTTCTTAAATAGGAACTTTGATTAAAACATAGTTCTTGATTTCATTTATATAATAATAATATATAATTTGGTAATTAATTAACACAAATTTTTTTTATTAATAAATTTTTTTCAAAATATTATATATATTTTTTTTTGATGTTAATAAAAATATTTTATTCTATAGATTTTTATTTATATATATTTTTTTTTATAAAAAAAAATTATTTTATATTTTTGTAGTAATTTTTAAAATCTTGGTTTTGAATCAGTTTTTTATATACAAAAATGTTACGAATTCTTTAAAAAAAATAGTTTTTAAGATTTAAAATATAGTTTGTTATAAAAAAAAAATATTTATATAAAATACTTGTAAACTGAAATATAAATAATTAGTTATCATTAAGATTATATTAAAAAATAAAGATTTTAGAATTTTTTTATTTTTATTTATTTTTTTTAAATTTTATTATCTTATTTATATAATAAAAAAATTAAACTTTTAATAACTAACTAGTAATTTTTATTAGTAAAAAATTTTTTTATTATTAAAGGTTATATTTTGTAATAATAGTTTATTGGTAATTTGAAATTAGCATTACAATTATTTTTTACAACTAGTGAAAATGGCAATCCTAGTATAATAGTTGGGTTGTCATCTTTCAAGCAGTAGGTTTAGAGTTTAAATTTCACTAGCAGTAGAAAATTTAAAAATAGTCCTATTCTGGCAATTTGTATAAGATATCTGAAGTTATAACTTTGTAATTCTAGTTGTACCAAGACTAACTTTAGGAGTGTGCAATATTATACAAATAAATCTAAAAAGTATATACTCTATAAAAAGCTCTGTTTAAAAATCCTAAATAAAGAGATAGTACAATCTTTAATAGTACTACTTGTGAAAATCTTGATCCAAAGATAGAAATCTAAGACAAGTAACCTGTACAAACAAGAACCCTAAGTAAAGAGGTTCACCAATCTAGTTATTAGTTGAATCAGATATGAAGTTACATTATACAGAGTTAACTGGATCGATAGTATAAAAGGACTTGCAATAATATACAAAGTACTGATAAAGTTATAAAGAAAGATACTAGGGTTGTATGAACTTTATAAAGATATAGCAGTTTAAGGATTACTCTGATTGCAAATATTGATCTTGGCTATAATGATATCAGGTTAGCTGAAAATTAGATAACAGAAGGCTTTGGTGGATTTAGTACAAGATTAAAGGTTCCTTATATAAATAAATTGCTTTAAAAACCTAGTGATTATAATAACTGTATATTGGTAAAAACTAGAGCAGTTGGTAAAGTAGATAGGTGAGTAGATACAGAAACCAGAATGTTTAAATAGAAGACCTATAAGCAGATTCTAGGTATAGCAGCTAGTGTAGAATCTTTGGGCAGACTACTTAAATTAGACAATAACTAAAGTTGTATAAGTAATTAGTTGTACATTCTTTTTATAATTGCCTCCTGTAGTTGTTGTAATAATACAACTACAAAACTAAAACATACTATTAATAAAAACTTAAATTGCAAATATTCATCTTTAATATTAAAAAAAAAAGTACAACTAGTTATATATACAATTTTTAGTTGCTTATTTAAAAATTTTTCTTTAAAGTTTTATACTAAATGCTATACTTATAATCTACTAGAAGATTATTTATTTAAACTTTTTAATTATTTGTTTCTATCAAATCTTAATTTATAATTAACTTTTATATATACTTATATATACTATCTAAGTAAAACAAATCTTTCTTTTTTGAACTTATATATAAATTATTATTAATTTTAAAGTATATTATTTAATAATAAACTTAAGAAGGCCTCTGTATTAACCAAATTATTTACTTTACAGTTCTATTAACAAAGCTATGCTTTTGTAGAGTTTACTTAAACCTAGTATCAACTTTATAGCATATTTTTAATATTTTAATATGCTTTTGTTTTGTTTTTAAATTTTTAATTTAAATAGACTATTTTTTATTTAGATTTTTCTAAATAGGTTTTTGTTTTTTTAATTTTATAAATTTATATAACTATAAAGATTTAACTTAAGTTTGTATTACTTAATATTAATTTGTATTTTTTTGTATAACTAAAATTGTATAAATGCCTTATGATCTGTTAATTATACTAATACAATCATAGTTTTTTTTAAAATAAAATCTTGCTTATATCTTTGTTAGTAATTTAAAATAGTTATATATATAATTATGACCAATATTTGCAGTTAGAACTAACTATTAAACTACTAACTATATAGCTATTACTATTTGTATAAAATAAATAATTAAAAATTATATACAAAAATAAAAACTCTAACTAATTTATTTATAATTTAAACCTACTAAAGTAGTTAAAGCTTATCTAAATTTGGATATTTAGTATATAATTTGATAATATACTATATTTGATCTATAAAATAGACCAAATGTTAATTTTGCAAATTGATTGATTAAGTGTAATTATAGTTACAAATATTTTATTTCAACTGATTAATAAAAAATACTTGTTATACAGTTAATTGTTTAAAATTTTATTATTAGTAAGTTTTAAACTTTTAATTTGCTATTTAAAAAAGTAATATCTAAAAATAAAAATAAAATTATTTTAGAATCTAAAATTTAAAATTAAAATTTAGACCTGTAAGTTAATAGTGCAGTGGTTAGCACTTCCAGGTTGCATTCGCAAGGTTGCCAGTTCAATTCCAATTGGGAAAAAAGTTGTGTTAGGACCACAATTGTTATGATCTTAAGGAGATTTCTCATTTCTATTTCTGGACAAGAATATTACAAGAATGAATGATCTACGGGGATTGCCTACTTCTAATTTTGAACAAAGTACTACAGCAAGAACAAGTTAAATGACATAGCTATGAGGTTATATGATGCCCAGATAAGGAGATAATCTGACAAGAAACATTGATAACATAAGGAACTCAGATTAAAAAATTATCATAAAAGGCAATAAAGATAAGAAGATGGAACCTGAAAGGACCATTGTTGATAGGGAACTGCAGACTTGAGTAAGGAGTCTTACACTGCAGGGCCAGGGATTAGAGTTATTACAATAATGATAAACTTGTTAATAATGTAGTATAGTAGGACTATGAAACACTATTAGTGATGTATATAGCAACTAAATATGTAAACCTGTAGGTTCCAAACATTAAAGTTAATAAAGAAAATTAGAGCACCATACATATTTCACGATGTAAAGCATTGGGGATAGTTAAAAAAAAAAAATTTAAAATTTAAAACTAAAATTGGTTTATTTTACTTTTATTTAAAAAATATAATTTTTGATCCTTTTTTAAATAAATAAAATTATTAAAAATATAAATATATAAATTTTATTTGTCTTTTTTATAAAAAATTTTAATTTGTTTTAATGAAAACAAAATAAGTTTTTTTTAAAAATCAATTTTAATATCATATATAATAACAACTTATCTATTTTATTAAGTTATTACACTTATTAATAAAGATTTTAAACTTAATAAAAAAAGTTAAGAGGCAATTTGCAGTTTATAAATATAAAATAATTGACATTTTAGAGTAATATACGGCAGGCATTTAATATTAAAAATTACTTAGTATTGGAATAGTAAATCTTTGTCTAATTGCAAGATATCAAAAAATAGAAAATATACTACAAGACTTATAAACAAGTGACAAATAATCTCAAATTTTCATTATAGACCATATGCTCAAGATTGGTGGATCTCGAATCTAAAAATTACAAATAGTATACTAACTCTTTCTTTTCATCTTCATATGAGTGTAATAACTCAAATAAATAGTTATGATTTTATTTTATCTATCATTAATAGACCTTCTAACCTATTACAGCCAGGCTTTTTATGTTCAATAGGAGAAAAAATTAGTAATATAGAGAATATGCCTTTAGCTGCTATTAACTTAATATATAGAGAATTATTTGAAACTCAAACAGAGCATTTCAGATTAGCAGTATTTGGGTTTTATAATAAGGAAATTATATCACAAATACTAACTGATATTTTATTTTTTCCTTTATATATACAGGTTAAAAAAAAAGTTACTGTAGTAGTTTCAGGAATCAGATGCTCTTTACGAGAAGATTTTTTATATAGTGGGCCTGGTTGTACATTATTATTAGTAATATATCATAATTTAGAAATATATCTTATTTGGCAACAGATTTTAAAAGATCAATGTAGTTTATGAGTTTTTAAAGAAAAAAATGAAATATATTAATATGTTGGCAAAACACTAACTATTGTTTAGAACAAGTATGAAATGTATCAAAATTAAGACCATCTTGCACTTTTTGGATTAAGAGATTTGAAAGTTCAAATATTATTAACAAATGATGCATGTACAACATGTACATCACTTCAGTGATATGATGAGTTAACTTTGCAACAAATATTTGATCTACAAATTAAGCGTAGAAAAATTTCAATGCCTAATGAAAATTGGCAAATTCTTTTTACTAACTGGATTATACAACAAAGTTCAGTAATTTGGTTTCTACATATTTTGTATAACATATATCTATCTGGTTATGCATTTTAACACAAAGAGTTAGTAGCTTGGCATTCTATATTTCAAGCTTGTGAGTGCACAAATATTACACCATATTCAAATAAAGAGTCAAATATAGAATTTTGGATATATGCAGTAGATCCTAGAGCAGATCAACAAATTTTATAAAATTTATATCAATGGGGGTTACTTCAGATACAAAGCTTTATATGTAATATTACTAATCAGTTTTGGGATAGTTTTCGGCATGCACTAAGTATTAGTAAAAAAGAAGCCGAGGAAAAAATTTATATACTTTCTATTATTATACTAGACTTTAGTTATTAAGTTCTTCAACATGAATTAGGAGTAAAATATTAAATATTTGTTTTGTAATGCAACTTGTTAATATAAATACAATTTTTTTTATTTTATAAAGTACAGATTATTTTAAAAACTATATACAAGGCCAAAAAGCATGCACATTTGTATGGTGCTAGTGCCCCATCTATAGAAATACCAAAAAAAACAACTCAATTAATGGCCAAATTTAAAGAAAAACAGTTTGAATCATTTTTTTTAGATAAAAGTAATGTGACAATAAGTTCTTACAAATAGACAAAAAAACAAACCTGCTTGTTCTTTACTTATGTAATAACAAGATTACTCTTTAAAAAAATTTTAACAAACTTTTCCAAATAGAATAAAAAAAACTTCTTTTATGAGATGGCTTGCAAATACCACACAACTGCAATATCAGGATGATTTAGATGGTCTTTGTAGAATTTGTAATGAATATGGCTTTGGATCATTTGAAAGTTTGGTTGGAATTGTACAAAATACATTTGCTGATAAAATGGAATTGATATGATTTTTATTTTATTTAAATGCAATAATTTTTTGGATAAGATAACAACTTTTTTTTAATTTGAAAACTTTTTTTTCATTGGATTTTTTGTTAATCCAATTAACTTTTAAAATCAAATTTATAGCACTACTAACATGTCTTTTATTACTTGGCCTTTGTATTTACTTTCAAAACCTTTAATAAGTAAAAAGTTTTTTTTTTAAAAAAAATGGATAGATTTTTTTTTTAAAAAAAAATAGATGTATTTTTTTTTAAAAAAACAGATCTTTTTTTTTTAAAAAAAAATGAATAAATATTTTTTTAAAAAAAAAAATAGATGAATTTTTTTTTTTTTAAAAAAAAAAAAAGAAAATAAGTGTTTTTTTTTAAAAAAAGTTTTTTTTTTAAAGTATTTTTTTTTTTAAGTGTTTTTTTTTTTATTTGAACTTTTTCTTTCTTTAAAAAAAAGATTTTCATTTAAATGTAGTTAGAATATTTTTTTTAGCTGCAATGGATTTTTTTTTCTAGTTAAAACTTTTTTTTTTTAATTAAAAATGTTTATAATTAGAATGAGTTTTTATTTTTATTATTATTAGAATGAAATATTTTCATGAATTGAAAAATTGCAATGCCATTTTAAGAGAGAGTTTGAGCAGGAGTTAATAATATCACAAGATGGAACAATTTTACATGATTTTTGTATTGACTATTGCCTTCTGTATGCTTTTGGAGAATGTTTAAGATTACATATTTCAAGATGTTCTCTATATAACCAATTCTATGAACTTTTTGATAAATTAGAAAAATGTGTAACTGACGAATGTATAACACAATTATATAAAATAAAAGAGCAATTAAAACATTACTTAGATCATCAAGCATGAAAAGTTTATCTTAACACATAATTCAAAGCAACTTTAGCTCAGTTGGATTTTAATGGCACTCTAATAGTAGCTGACTATAAGATGAGAATTCTTCTGAAGTCTGCTTGTAAAACCAAGAAAGATTTTTTTAGTAAAAGAGGCTGGACTTTGCATACAATTTTGCTTTTTAGAAAAATAGAAAATCAAGATATGCTAGATGTTCAGGCATTTGATCATTAGTCTACTAATACTAAGCAAGATGCTTAGTTCACTGCTTCTTTATTTAAAGCAGTATTTGATTTAATGAAACAAAAACCAAAATAGATAATAATAATTTTAAACAATGATGCACATTACTATAATTCAGAATTAATGATTATTATTACTCATTGGCATGCTTGGTATTCCATTAAGATTAATCGATAGCTGTTTTTGGAGCCAAGAGAAGCTAAAACAACTATTGATTCTCATCATGCAAATGTGAGATCAATCTTCTTTTTTTTTTTTTAATAGGTTTATTTTTTTAAATACTAATCATGTATTAACATCATAATTAGAGTTGTTAATGGTGTAATCAAATATATAACCCACTTCAGAGCACTTCAGAAATAGATTATATGTTTGATTATTGACTGGAGCACATCATTAACAACTCTAATTATGGTGCTTTAATATCACATAAGATTGGCCATAGTATTAAGTGATATGTTTGAATTGAATTTGATATAGCTGAAGATGAAGATATAGTAAAGTCAGCACAAGGGCTGGCTGGAATGTTATTGGCACAAATTACAATAGATTGTGATGATAAAAATAGCAAATCTGAGGTTAAAGACATGAGGCCAAAAAAAAAAAAAAATTAAGAATTCAAGTAACAAAAAACTAAAAATTAAAACAATACCCAGAATATTCAAATTTTACTGTTAGGAATAACTAATGGAAGAACCTCTGGCTGGATTTATTCATGCTAGGGGATTACCACATGTGGGCTCGTGGAAAGATTTCTCTCTAGCTGAAATCACCAAATTATCTAATGCACCCACTATTCACCCGAAACCAATAGTTTTGGCCCATATGACATTAACATCTGATTGGGTCATACCAATTCCCATAATTCAAGATATGTAAACATGTAAACAGACTATTAAAAAATAGTAGAACTTGATTACTGTAATAAATTTTAATCCCTGTTGACGATAAAGTAACAAAGATGGAAGGTAAGTTTATTGTTGTAATTTTACAAACCAATTACAAGATGCTATTAAATGGCATTACTTATAAAGCAGGAGTTACTAATTTTAATAATGAAGGCAATTCTTAAGAAGGCTCTAGGACGAATGTCGAAGGTAGGAATCAGTTCTTCCAATATTACTATTAAAAAGCTACTGAGTGATTTTGGTAAAACAGATGTTACTGATCTTAGTAATGAGGATAATCATTAAGGAAGTCCTGATATGAATGTTGATGGTGATAATCAGCTATTCTAACAAAAACTTGAATTTTTCATTAAGGGCAAAAAAAAATTTACTTGTTAGAATATAACTTTTCAGAAAATAGTATTGGAAAAAGTAAATAGAAGGCATTCATTTATTTTCAAAAGTCTGCTGAGATGGAAAATGCCAATGGAATTGGTGTTAAAATGGATAAACAAAAGACATTCATTTATTCTCAGAAATTTGCTGAAATGGAAAATGCCAATAGAATTGGAATTGAAAAGAATGAACAAGATGCATTTGTTTATTATCAGAAATCAGCAGAGATAGGTAATTTTAGAGATAGGTTTGTAAAACCTTTGCTCAATTTATCAAGATTATTTTATATTTAACTAACATGACTCTTGTCTAGAAACATCGAGGATGAATTTAAAATGCCTTCAGGATAGGCATTTCTGGAAAATTCAAAATTCAAAAAAAAGGTGTAGAAAAAAAGATCAAAACAAAAGTTGTTAATTTGCTAAAGCATTTTTTTTTAAATAGGAATATGAATTCTAAAGACAAGATGACAGCTCAAGAAATGCATATGAAACTTAAAGAGTTCACACAATCTGGAGAAATTGATAATAATGACATCACTCAAGTATCTACAATTCATAATTGGATTGGTAGATATTCTAGAGAATTTTATTATGAAGAAACATTAATTGTACTTGAGATATTCAATACTGATGGCTCTTTTTCAAATAGTGAACTTTGAATGTATTTACATTTGCATTTTATCATTTAAATATCGAATGTCATATCTAAGTCATATTTTTTGTTGAAACAGATCAAGTAGGTTGAGAATGATGAATGTAAAGCTTTCATTTATTATTAAAAAACTACTGAAATGGAAGATTCTATTGGAATGTTTCAAGTTGGTTATTGTTAACTAATGGAATTGAGTTTAAAATATGAACAAAAGTAGCATTTGTTCATTACCACTAGTATACTAAAATGGTGCATATAAATAAAATATGAATTTATAAACAAATAAGTCAAACATTTCAATTAATAAATTTAGATCAAAAAATAAAATGAAATCATTTCAAGACCTAATTTTAATGTAGTTATCTTTCAAATCATTTATTCACATGAATTTAATGCAATATATTTAGAACCCGATTTAACATGCCAATTTCACAAAAGTATTATTTTAATTTATCTTACTAATTTTATTTCTTATTCCATTAAAATAAAAAAAAAAGTTATTTTGTTTATGGATGCATAAAATATTACAAAGTATTTAACCCAATAGGCTACACTTAGCAATGTAAACTCAACACAATTGCTAACAACTATGTCCTAAAATTTGTAATATTCAAAATCAATGTTCTGAAGGTTATTTTAAAATCATAATAATATATGAAATAAGTTTTTATTTGATTTTATAATGTACAGTATTATAAAATAAAACTAAGATGTTCCTGCTCAAAATTACATTAACTATTTCAAACTACGCTTAAAAATTAAAAAAAAAGAAAAAAAAACTTCACACATTCCATGAATGCTAATTAATCCTTTTACCCCTTTGAAAGAATAAATTTCACAAAACTTGATAAATTTATCTTCCAAATATATGCTATTGAATACTAGTCTATATTCTCAAGGTATATTTATGAATTGCCTGATCAGTTGAAGTGTTTAAAGTATAAAATATAGTTAACAGAAGACCACATATATGATTAACAAAAAAATAAAGTGATATTTGTATATAACTTAGCTTGATTAAAAATCTTTTGGTTCTAGCATATGTTGTGAACCAGAAATTTTTAATACCAGTACCAAAAGATATACTAATTTTCTAAAACCACTATATAATTCTAAAAATTATTAGATATTGATATTCAAAAAGAGGTTACTTATATTTGAAATTAGTCATAATAAATATTCTATTCGATACTATGAATTTTTAGTTATATATGAGACCACTAAAAAAAAAATCAGGTACTGATCTTTTTTTAAATAATCGAACTCAATCCTAGACAACCTAATCAGTAACTTATGAAATGGAATTACCATACAGTGCTATATACAGTTAACCCTAGATACTTTTCAAAAAAGCTGGCCTAAATTAAATCATACTCTCCAGATATTGGGAGGTAGGAGGATAATCCAAATAATCGTTACTGATCAATACTCAGTACTATACAGTAAAGAGATGCATACAACTAATCTTTCATTTATTTCAATGATATATTCTCTAGTCATTAATATGCAATCAATAGAACTCTCAATATTAATATCATAATATGTTATATAAATAATGTCTATTAATCATGTTAATCATATACAGCTAATTAGATTTCTGGGGTTGAGTCCAATAAGTAGAGTTAAAAATCAAAGTCTAGTGTCCTCTGGCAGCATTCATATATAATACTCGACGGAACATGGATATAATCTTAGCAAGTACATACACCTTAAATTTTGAAAACTTTACTTTAGAACTACCTATTTGTCACAGTATTTGTACAATATGTTACATACATATTTATGCACTATAGATTACACAAAACTGCTTCCAAAAATGGCACAAAATTCTTAATCAAGTTAATTGGCAAGCCACCTGGCTATACATCAACAA